GATCGAAAATCTAATGTGTTACATACAAATGAGAACTAGAAGAATCAAATATACTAATTAATTAATTTACAAGTGTTGGACAATTAATTGTGTTACTTATTAATAGACCAAATTAATTATTTACATTAATTAATTAATGAACTAGATTAATTAATATTAAACTGTGTTAAGTTTAAGTGTTGGGCCAAACTTACTTGGACTTTTATTAATAAGCTATTAGGGTTTGAGAAATCAAAACAACACAATTATTATCTTGCTAGCACCCAAAAAAAAAAATCCTAATTCTCTAATTCTTGTTCTATGTATGAATTTTCATTGGAGTTAAGGAACCAACACAACTGTGGATTGCATATCTTAATTATTTGTGTTCAAGATAAACAAAGGAATTTGCAAAATTCAATAAATGTATAATGCCAATCATAGTTTCTTTCTCAACACAAAGAAGATTCTTGCTGGAAAATGAAATATTATTTATTTTCCGCTGTGCATGATTAAGTAAATTCTCAACAAATTTAGCGTCACATCTTGAACTCAAGTATGGTTTTCGTGGCGAGACCTGTTGCAATATTATTTCTGGTATCATGCATGTTCGATTTGTAGAGCAAGGAGGAGGAGGAGATGGCACAATGCTTAATTAGCTGTGGACGCGATGTGCTAACTTCTTGTATCGTGTATGGATTGAAAGGTTTGGATGTCGTGATAGATGCTTAGTCAGTTGTGGCTTTGCTAACATGAAATGTATATGAGTTATGAGCGAGTGTGTTGGAAAAAAACTTCCAGTTACTTGACCACCACCATTACCTTAACTATATATAAGTGTATGTGTGAGGATTCAGCTTCCAATTCCATCTAATTAATAATATAGATTCCTGATTCAACCTTTAATCCCGGCTAGTTATTCATCAAAAAAATGTCATATAGCAAATCAAATTTTCAATTTTGAGTTGTATTAGTATCGTCTATCAGGGGGCGGACGCAGACTTATTAAACAGGGGGGGACACAATCAAACTTTCAAAAAGTGACGAAAAAAATTAACGTAAGAAATATTTTATTAGAATTGTTCTTTGCGTGTTCTCATATTTTGATAA